GAGCTTGAACTTATGGCCTGGGTACTATCCCTGAGCATTTGTGCCCAATACTAGATCTCTACTACTTGAGTCACTTGTTGTTAACTTGGAGACAAGAATCTCATGGACTTCCCTGCTTGAGCTAGCTTTGACCTGTAGATCCTTAGATCTCAGCCTCCTGAGTAACTAGGATTACAGGTGTGAGCCACTGGTGCCTGGCTCCTACATGAGAATATTTTAAGGTGATGATGAAGACTTCAGGCAAATGCTTCAAGCCCTCTCTCTGGCATGGCTTTCTTATCTCTGTCTTATAGCCCCAACCTTTCTCTGAACTCTTCAGGCTTCCCTCAGCCACATGGAGCTCAACCTCTGCTTCCTAAGTTGGCTGTTTACTTTCTTTTTGTTCTGAGTGGCCACATAAATTATCAGCTAGTTATGCCCTGGCCTCAGCAAGTTTCTTCCCATCTGCAGCCATCTACCCAGTGAGCTGAGCACTCATCGCGACTATCTGTTGTCTCCCAAGTTTCTTTTTTTGGGGGGAGGGGTCCGGTCCTGGGGCCTGAACTCTGGGCCTGGGCGCTGTCCCTCAGCAGTTCTGCTCAAGGCTAGTGCTCTACCACTTGAGCTACAGGGCCACTTCCAGCTTTTTTCTTTTTGCTTATGTGGTGCCGAGGAATCGAACCCAGGGCCTCAGGCATGCAAGGCTCTACCACTGAGCCACCTTCCTAGCCCCATGTCTCACAAGTTTCTGATTCTATCCTTTTCTTCTCAAAAGCCTTTTAGACACTATCTTCCAAGTGTATTCACTCAACCATTTTGAAACCATCCTTTCTTTCCCATACACAATGCCAATATTGTAATCTACTCATTTGAAGCATACTCATTTTATACTCACATTGTACAGGCACTTAGATACTAGTTACTGGTTTTAAATACTAGAACAGTACTGATGATATTATATTATGCAAAAAGATATGGTCTCTTTAGGGATTTACAATATAGTAGGAAAGAAATGCAAACGAACAGAGGCTTTCAAAATAGCATGTTATGACAGGTATCATGTGTGGCCTGGCAGAAGAGGGCATTTATCTTAATTTTGGCCATTTCCTTATGGAAATAAAGTTTAGAATGAGATCTGAGAACTGAAATCTGGAGGCAAGAGAAAGTACTGTGTTTAGGGAATTAAAAATCATCCATTATGGCTTGGGTGGAAAATGCACGGCTTGTGAAGGAGAACTTTTGATGGAGATAATTAGAAGCCAGGTCCTACAACTTAAGGAATTTGGATTTTATCTTAACAATAAGAAATTGGCTTTAAGCTAGGAAAGAATGATCACTTTTGTAGTTAAGATTATCTTGACTAGAGTAAGGAGGTAGAGATCTAGAGACCACATATAGAATACAGTTCTAGTCTATACAGGAGTTGGTGGGCTAATAGAGGGAAAGGAGGAAAAAAGCTAAGTTGAAAAGAAATAAGATGGCAGAATGGATAGAACTGGGTTATTGGTTGACTGTGATGTTCTCCCCGGGACTGAGTCCTGAGAGGAACTAAAGGGCCTTAAGAAGAGGCATCCAAAATGGTCAGAGGGGAAACCAGGGCAGTTTTAGTGTTGGATGAACTTTGATAAAGTTGTCACTTAATACTGTGCTGAAAAGTCAAGAATCAAACAAGAAATGTAAGGGGGCCCCCTAGTCTTCCTTGAAGAAGGTTACAAAGTAGCAACCCCAATAAAAGTTGGTATAGTGGGTGTATCTAAGCAAGTGGCTGTGAGTAGATTTTGCAAGTATCCATGATTTACTGGAGAAGTTTGTAGCAAACATTGTATCAATTAAAGGGATTTTTTAAAATTGTTGTTACTAGCTGTTGGTCACTAGTAACAATTACTAGCCATTACAGGCTCACAACTGTAATCCTAGCTACTCTGGAGGCTGAGATCTGAGGATCACAATTCAAAGCCAGCTTGAGCAAGAAAGCCATTGAGACTCATCTCCAGTTAAACTGGAAGTGGTGCTGTGGCTCAAAGTAGTAGAATGCTAGCCTTGAGGAAAAGAACTCAGAGACCAGTACCCAAGCTGTGAGTTCAAGCCCCACAACCAACAAAATAAATTGTTGTTACTATTTTGTTATTTAGATCTCTGATTTATAGTTTTCCACTTAGCCTTTTTAAAAAAATTGGAGTACTTGTGTTAAACACAGGACCTCACACTTATTAGAACAAGTGTTCTACCACTTGATCTATGACCTAGTCCTTTTTGCTTTAGATTTTTTTGCCAGTCCTGGGGCTTGAACTCAGGGCTTGGATACTGTCCTTAAGCTTCTTTTGTTCAAGGCTAGCACTTTACACTTGAACCACAGTGCCACTTTCAGCTTTTTCTGTTTATGTGGTACTGAGGATTCGAACCCAGGACTTCATGCATGCTACCACTAGGCCACATTCCCAGCCCTCCTTTAGATGTTTTTGAGATAGGGTCTTGAATTTATGCCCAGGCTGTCATGGACCATAATGCTTCTATTTATGTTTTCAACATAGCTCCTTAAATATATTCCTGAGCACATACTTCATTTGTGATTTGTGCTCTTGTAAGTTTGGTAGTCCTCCTCCTCCTCCTTTTCCTCTTCCTCCTCCTTCTGTGTGTGTGTGTGTGTGTGTGTGTGTGTGTGTGTGTGTGTGTGTGTGTACCATTATTGGGCTTGATATCAGAGCCTCACATTCTTATTCCACTTTTGAGCTTATGGCTGGTGCTCTAACACATGAGCCATACCTCCCCTTCCAGCCTTTTTGGGTTAAATGGAGATAAGAATTTTATTGGATTTGCCTGCCCAGATTGGCTTTGAACTTTGATCCTCAGATCTCAGCTTCTTACGTAGCTTGGAGTATGAGCACCTGGCACCTGGTTTAGTAATTGTTTTTAAATTTCAAATTCCAGTTGTTCATTGCTGGGATATGGGAAAGTGATGGCCTTTTATATTTGTTCCTTGTATCCTATAATTTTGCTGTCATTACTTGTTAGTTTACAGAAAACTTTAAAAAGTCTGTCTTTGGAGATTTTCTGCATAACCAGCCATTTGCTGGCTTTTATCTCATTCTTTTTGGTCTGTACACCTTTTCTTTTATTCCTTATATTGCATTAGCAAGGACTTCCCTTAGGATGGAATAGTATTGATGAGAGAATATCTTTGCCTTGTTTCTATATCTCTCAATCTTAATGCATCAATTTTTTCCAGCCATTAAGTAATACGGTAGCTGTAGGGCATGTTTTTGTAGATATTCTTTATTCAAATTGAGATATTTTATTGAGACTTTTTTTTAATCCTTAGATGGTTGTTGAATTTATTCACTATTTTGTTTAGTTGTTGTTTCATGGATTTTTGAGGTGGAAGAAGTGTTAGGACCAAAACCAGTGCTTTGCAATTAATCACATTAATTACTTAGTGTATATCAATTGTACTAAGCAATGTGTTTCATGGTTTTGTTTTATGTATGTCTTCAGACATGAATGTAATGTTCTTTGGTCATATTCATACATCATTGCTCTCTTTTATCCCCATTCCTGTTTGGTGTCCTATTTGGTTCTGTATATCCTGAGTGTCTGCCAGGGATATTTTTTTCAAGTGCTGGATTTGAAGGATTTGAAGGGAATTTATACATTATATAGTTTTTTGTTTGTTTTTATTGGTCATGGGGCTTGAACTCTGGGCCTGGGCGCTGTCCCTCAGCTCTTCAGCTCAAGGCAAGCACTTGAGCCACAGTGCCACTTCTGGTTTTCTGGTAGTTTATTGGAGATAAGAGTCTCATGGACTTTCCGGCCTGGGCTGGTTTTGAACTGTGATCCTCAGATTTCAACCTCCTGAGTAGCTAGGATTACAGGCTTGAGCCGGTGCCCAGCTACATTGTAGATTTTGGGACCTGCCCTCTTATACTTCCAATCTTTAGGTTTTTTTCCATCTCAATTTCCAGCAACTCCGGTAGCCTTAATCTCTGTTTTCCAGTTCTTCAGGCATAAAATACAATGGATGTCTATCTGCTCATGTTCTGTCTACCTTAGGATGTACAGACTGGGATAGACCTTAGCTATATCCACGTGGATTAAAGCTTGTGTAGAGATTGAACTCCCAAGGATTCAAACCCTTTTGGCTCTGTGTCTGCTTTTTATTGTTCTCTGGTGTTTTGAAATATTTTGTTGAAAAGTTGTCATTATCGGCAGGAGGTCTAGACAATGTGAGTTATCCCACCATTACCAGAAGCAGAGTTTGAGGAAACTGAAGAAATTAGCCTTTTTTCAGGACAGAAGATTTTAAATGGAAGAATATTAAATTCTAAGAGCTCATACTTTGGTGAGATTAAAATGGGAATGGCTTTAAAATGAATTGGTAAGAAGGCAAGGGAAGCCTATTTGTTTTGAACTTAGTGCCTCACACTTGCTAGACAGTAACTTTACCACTTGAGCCAGGCCCTCGCCTGCTTAGAAGAATTTTGTAGTAGTTCAAGAGAAAAGGTACCAGGGCTTCATTAGGGGAGAGGGGCAGTGACATTCAAAGGAGGATGTATGGAAAGATTTAAAGAAAGATCCATTCCTACAAGTAGTCCTGGGTCCTTTTCTACAAGACAGGATTTACCTGGGCCATCCTAGACTGGGCTCAGACGTTCATTCAGGCTTTTAGTGCTTTCTCACCACTTGTTAGTCCTGCAAAATGACCGGTTGATTCCTGGTCATTTGTGGTCTATAGTCTCCCTAGCTTACCTGAGGAGTATGTTTATGTGGGGCGGGGCAGGGGGGTGGAGAAGGGGATGCACAATTTAAAGAACCTAATCTGATCTTGACTCTGGTCAAGATCAGCCTATTTACTTCCAGCCCCAGAGTATCAACTGGATATGAGTTGGGGAAGAGGAGGGAAAGGAGTTACTATACGGGTGGCACTGCCTACCCTGGCCTCGGTATATACACCTGGAGCTGCTCCTAATGTTAGACAATTGATTATCTTTGACCATTTCTTCTAGCTCTGCTTTCTCTTTTAACAGGTCAAATGGATGATGTACTGGATTATATTTGCACTGTTCACCACTGCAGAGACATTCACAGACATCTTCCTTTGCTGGTAAGTGCTCCAAGATTGGACACTCCAAGTGTGTCTTATACACTCACACCCAAGGGTAGAGAAGGGGAAGGGCTAAAACTGTGAAGCTTGCCTCAGATCAGAGAGCAGGGACCAGAAGTATTCATTGGAGCGTATTAAAAAAGTTGGCCTATAAAAGTTGTTCAAGGGCTGGGAAGTTGGCTCAGTGGTAGAGCGCTTGCCTTGCATGCCTGAGGCCCTGGGTTCGATTCCTCAGCACCACATAAGCAAAAAGCAAAAAGCCGGAAGTAGCGCTGTGGCTCAAGTGGTAGAGCACTAGCCTTGAGCTGAAGAGCTGAGGGACAGTGCCCAGGCCCAGAGTTCAGGCCCCATGACCGGACCCCCCCCAAAACAAAAAACAAAGTTGTTCAAGCTGGGTGCCAGTGGCTTATACCTATAATCCTAGCTACTGAAGATTAAGGTTTGAAGTCAGCATCAATAAGTAAATCTTGAGAGACACTTATCTCCAATTAACTAACAAAGAAGCCAGAATTGGAGCTGTGGTTCAAATGGCAGAGCGTACTAGCCCTAAGCACAAAAGCTCAGAGACAGCACCCAGGCCTTGTGATCAAGCTCCAAGACCAGTATTAAAAAAAAGGGGGGGGGGGTCTGGGAATGTGGCTCAGTGGTAGAGTGCTTGTCTAGCATGCATGAAGCCCTGGGTTTGATTCCTCAGTACCACATAAACAGAAAAATCCAGAAGTAGTGCTGTGGCTCAAGTGGTAGAGTGCTAGCCTTGAGCAAAAGAAGCTCAGGGACAGTGCCCAGGCCCTGAGTTCAAGTCCCAGACTGACCAAAAAAAAGTTTTCAAGTAAATATTTATGGTTAACCATGTAGAGCTACTATTCAAGAGACAGGAGTTTAAAAGGGTAGCTAAGACAAGCATGGCCCCTCAGCCCCTTAGTGAATAGAGTTGGTAAAGAAACACTCATATCTCCAAAACAAAAAAGAGGAAGGAAAATAAATAAATAAATAAAGGTTTATTGATATACGGTCATGATAGCCAGCAGCCCGTGACTCGTGCCTGTAATCCTAGCTATTCAGGAGGCTGAGATCTGAGGATCACAGTTCAAAGCCAGCCTGGGCAGGAAAGTCTGTGAGATTTATCTCCAATAAACCACTAGAAAACCGGAAGTGACACTGTGGCTCAAGCGCTCAAGTGCTTGCCTTGAGCTGAAGAGTGCAGGGACAGCACCCAAGCCTAGAGTTCAAGCCCCATGACCAACCAAATAAAAATAAAAATAAGGTCTTGATAATCAGCTAATGATTTGCATAAATAAGCCCCAGAGTCCCTTCTACAAGTTGGGATTCTGGAGTTGGTTTTGCATCATTTACTGTTACTAGATGAGTTTCTTTGGTGTGATAAAGTATTATTCAAAAAATATAAAGATATAGCCATTTGGAGAAGATAAAGGTTTTGCCTGGCACCAGTGGTTCACATCTGCAGTCCAGCTAGTTACTCAGAAGGCTGAAGTCTGAGGGTAACAGTTTGAAGCCAGCCTGGGCAGAAGTCTATGAAACTCTTATCTCTAATTAACAATCAAAAAAGCCAAAAGTGGAGCTGTGATTCAAATGGCACAGTGATGGCTTTGAATGCAAAAGCTAGAAGACAGAGTTCAGGCCCTGAATTCAAGCCATATACAAAGAAAAAGGGAACGAGTTCTTACCCACAAAAGTAGAGATATGGCTCAAGTAATAGAGTGTCAGTCTTGTGTCAGAACAAAACAAAACCTCTTACCTAGAAAGGACAAGTGTAAACTTCCCCTGATCCTGTAGCATGACCTACTCCTGGGACCAGGACTAAACAGCACTTCTCTGAACCTTCTTGGGGGTCAATGACCTTAATTCTTTCTCTCCCTACCCCCTCTCTGTATGTCTGTGTCTGCGTCTGTGTGTCTGTGTGTCTGTGTGTCTGTGTCTGTGTCTATGTGTCTGTGTGTCTGTATGTGTTCTCATGCTCCAGTTCTGGGTAGTGAACTCAGGGTCTGGTGCTGTCCTTGAGTTTGATTTTTTTGCTCATGGCTACCACTCTACCATTTGAGCCACAACTTCACTTCTGGCATTTTGGTGGTTAATTGGAGATAAGAATCTCATGGACTCTCCTGCCCTGGCTGGCTTTGAACTGTACAGGTACTCAGATCTCAGCCTCCTGAATAGCTTGAATTACAGGCATGAGCCTCCAGTGCCCAGCTCTACCTAGACTTTTAGCTTACAAAAACTGTAGAATAAGCCGGCGCCAGTGGCCCATGCCTGTAATATTAGCTACTCAGGAGGCTGAGATCTGAGGATTACAGTTCAAAGCCAGACCGGGCAGAAAAGTCTGTGAGACTCTGATCTCTAATAAACCACTAGAAAAACTGGAAGTGGCAGTGTGTCTCAAGCGGTAGAGCGCTTGCCTTGAGCTGAAGAGCTGAGGGACAGCACACAAGCCCAGAGTTCAGGCCCCATGACTGACCAAAAAAAACCCAAAAAACTGTAGAATAATAACTTTGTGTTCTTTTAAGGAGCTAGATGTATAGTAACTTGTTATGCATCCCCAGATAAAAATAAAATTGAATCCAAAAACAATTTTTGAATACTTACTAGGTATGACACTAAAATTCTGCCATGGGTAAGGGCACTTGGGCCAACTGAACTAAAATGAGATTCAAGGAGTGACACTTAAAGGAGAAAGACAGTCCTCATTAGGCAGTATTTTCACCCAGCAAAAAAAGCAACACGAGGGTTGGGAAGGTGGCTCAGTGGTAGAGCACTTGCCTTGCATGCCTAAGGCCCTGGGTTCGATTCCCCAGCACCACATAAGTAAAAAGAAAACAGCCAGAAGTGGCGCTGTGGCTCAAGAGGTAGAGCACTAGCCTTGAGCTGAAGAGCTGAGGGGCAGCGCCCAGGCCCAGAGTTCAGGCCCCACGACCGGACCCCCCCCCCAAAAAAAAAGGAAAAAAAAAACCAACACGACTGGCATGTTGCTAACCACAAGAAAGAGTTCCTGAGACTAACACTGTTGTTTCATAACATTTATGAGAAAGACATGGGGACAGCAGGAAGCTGCCCAGCACTAGACAGAGGCTGCATTAAGGAGAGAAGGCTCAATGGCTTGAGGTGCTGGCCACAATATTAAATAAACTGTTCATTTCTCATTAGCCATGACATGGTCTCAAAAAAAACTTTTTTCTTCTGTAAACATCCTGGCCTTGAGGAGCTGAGAATCAGCTTATCCTAGGAGCTGCTGGATTCCTCCCCATCCTGCTTTAACATCCTGGCTTTGTGATAAGGATGGGTTGCTGTAGCAGCTAGAACACATGGGAAAAGTGGAAGAAAACATGTATAGTTTTGCTTTTAGCGAGTAACAGGTTTAATAATTATGCTGACTTTATTAGTGTTAACTGAGTTTTGAGGCTTATAAGATCTGGAGACTGAAAGGATAGGGAAGAACATATACCACAGTTATTTATTTTGCTTTTTCATGTTCCTTATGTCTTTTCTTTAATTTTTCCTTTGGTACTAAAAAGGTGATGTACAGAGGGGTTATAGTTATGTAAGTCAGAGTATATTTCTTTTTGATATTGTCACCTCCTCCCTTACTCCATACCTTTTAATTTTTAAATTATTATTATTATTATTTTGCCAGTCCTAGGGCTTGAATTCAGGGCCCAGGCACTGTCTCTGAGCTTCTTTTGCTCAATGCTAGCACTCTACCACTTGAGCCACAGCCCTACTTCCCGCTTTTTCTGTTTTTAGTGAGGAATTGAACCAAGAGCTTTATGCATGCTAGGCAAGCACCCTACCACTAAGATACATTCCCAGCCCTTTTAAAACTATTGTTTTCGGGCTGGGAAGGTGGCACAGTGGTAGAGCACTTGCCTTGCATGCCTGAGGCCCTGAGTTTGATTCCTCAGCACCACATAAGCAAAAAGAAAAAAGCCGAAAGTGGCGCTGTGGCTCAAGCAGTAGAGTGCTAGCCTTGAGCTGAAGAGCTGAGGGATAGCACCTAGGCCCAGAGTTCAGGCTCCACAACTGGACCCAAAAATAAAAAAAATAAAAACACAAAAACTATTGTTTTCTTTTTTTGTTTGTTTGTTGGTTGGTCATGAGGCTGGGCCTGGGCACTGTCCCTGAACTCTTCAACTCAAGGCAAGCACTCTACCACTTGTGTCACAGCGCCACTTCCAGTTTTCTGGTGGCTTATTGGAGATAAGAGCCTAACAGACTTTCCTGTCTAGGCTGGCTTTGAACCCACGATCCTCAGATCTCAGCCTTGTGAGTAGCTAGGATTACAGGCATAAGCCACCAGCTCCCGGCAAATTATTTTTTTGAGACAAGTGTCTCATAGGCTAGCCTAGAACTCCCCTTGTAACTCAGGCTGGCCTTGAACTATTGATCTTCCTCTTCCCTCCCTGCCATAAACCCAGTGCTGGGATTATAGGTGTATGCCTCTGTGCCCAGTTATGCCATGTCTCTTAATGGGTAGTGAATTATGGATCAAGACCCAGAAAGTACATTTGTCCTTCATTCCTAGGTGGTTCCTGACTATCTCAAAGGAGGCTACTTTTAACCAAAGTCTTCCCTGGGAGGGCTGGGAATTATCAGACTCTAATGACTTCCTTTTTTTCTTTTTCATGCTCTGGAGAGTTAGGGTATCTTTTCATTCAAGTAACAAACCCACTTTGTTGAGATTCTTCTGTCAAAAATTGATTTATTTCACCCCCAAATACTTCATTGAAAGCTTTATCACCCAGGGTTAACAGTACCACAGAGTAGTGTTATTCAGGTCTAGAGTTATCTGAGAGAAAATACCATTGGGAAGCCATGTTGGCCCTTCCAAACAAAACCTATTCTCTAAACTTGTAATGAAGATGCTCTGTTGGTGTGAGAAGACAAAGTCCGAGAAAGTGAACCTAGAAGCTAAGAGGTGGTAAGGTTTTGAAAAGTTTCCTCAAAGCCAGGTACTGGTAATCCACCTAGAATCCTAGCTTCTTAAGGATGCTGAGATCTGGAGAATCTTGAGTCATATTCAGCAGGACAAAAAAGTCGGTGAGACTCCATCTGCAATTAACTAGCAAAATTCTAGACTGGAGATGTGGCTCAGATGGTAGAGCATTATCCATGAACAAGAAATCCAAGTAAGAGCTCAGGGCCCTGGTTTCAAACTCTGATATTGGATTTTTTAAAAAGTTTAAGAAAATGGAGCTGTGGCTCAAGTAGTAGAGTGCCAACTTTAAGCAAAAAAGCTGAGATAGCAACCAAGCTCTGAGTTCAAGCCCCAATACACACACACACACACACACACACACACACACACACACACACAATAAATAAAGAGACATACTAACTACTACCCATATCTATAAAATGATCAGCCCTTGGGAGGGAAAATGCTTTTAAAAGATCTCCATCAACATGGCAGGGATAGATATACAGAAAAGAACCCAAAGAACAAGGATGGTTTATAAGAGAGAATAAAGGGGGCCTGGGTAGTCCCAAAGGACCACTAGTATCTAATATGGAAACACATCGCACAAGCCCTAATCTTATAATCTAGGACAAGAGGCTGTTACGACTGGCCAGACACTGGCAGTGTGGCTGTGGTAGGTCAGGTGCTCCTATTCAGGTTTGCAAAGAGGTGCTTTATCTATCTATAAAGTGCACACAGAAATCCCACTCTTGACACTATGTTGAAAATGAACTTTACAACTTCGGGGTTGGGGGGGAAGGGAGGAGTTGGGCAGGTAGGGAGGGAAGGGATGGTAGGGGGAAAACAAAGGAGGGGGTAACAATGCTTGATAGGAAATGCACTCATTACCTTATTCATGTAACTGTAACCCCTCTCTCTATACAGTATCTTTACAATAAAAATATATATTAAAAAAAGAAATCCCACTCCTGGGCCTTTGTGCTGTAGATGCATGTGCATGGGTATGTAAAGAAGCATACATGAAAAGGTTTATAGCCAATGATTATCATCCTGTGAATGTCTGCTGATGGGGCCCTGCAAGATGCTGTAGCATTCATATGCAGCCATTGATAAGACTAAAGCAGCTGTCCCAAAAGTATATTGTGGTTTCTGTGGATGTTATGGGAAGCTAGGTACCGAAAGGGATGCATAGAATGCTGTTGTGTGTATGGAGGACAATTATGGAAGTCACGTATCTAACCCCTGCTTAACTCTGAAAGGGCACTGATAATACTTCTGCTTTTAGGAAAGGGACTAGCAGTCAGGAGTAGATCAGCAATGCTTTCTTAATACTCTTTTGTACTCTGAGATTTTTTTAACAATGTGCATGCATGACCTATATTTTAAAAATACATCTTTTCATAATAATAATAAAAAAACAACTGCAGTGCGGCAGCTGCCCTTGGGATTGTCTGTGTATCTTGTGTTGGTGCCTGAGCTTGCCAGATTCATTTGTTTTTTTTCCCCCTCAGGGATGGCAAATTCTTGTTTTCAAAACAAAAGTTCCTCCATTATTAATCACCAAAGTATTACATTGTGGGAGAATTATACCTCTGTTCTTTCAACCCTTCTTTTGTCTGGCTATGAACTGCTTAAACAATCTGCAGTGAAAATGCATCCCCTAGTTGCGGAGTGAAAACTAAAAAAAGAGCCTGTAGAGGTAGAAAGCAGAAATGCCTAAGAGCTGGATGTGTAAAGAAATGAGTAGAACTGTGATTTGGAAGAGAGAGAGGGTCCTGAAATGACTTGTTAAAATTTTGTTTTTAGCCAGACGCCAGTGCCTCATGGCTGCCATCCTAGCTTACTCAGGAGGTTGAGATCAGAGGATGGTGGTTATAAACCAGCCAGAGCAGGAAAATCCGTAAGACTTATCTCCAGTTAACCACCAGAAAACTCCGAGTGGTGCTGTGGCTCAAATTGGTAGAGCACTAACTAGCCTTGAACAAAAGAGCTCAGGGACATCAGGCTCTGAATTCAAGCCCCATGACTTACAAGAAAAATAAAATAAAATAACTCATCCCAGAAGGATACGTGGTGATGATTTATTTTCTCATCCCTCAGTCTAGCACACATAACCTTCTCCTTTGTAATACCATGTTTTAGGGATAGCTTGGATTTGCTTTAAGCAGGTGCAATGAGAGATGCTGACCTAACAAAGACAGGAAGAAAAAGTTAGTTATACTCACAGATTCCTAGAAACAGGAAACCTGGTCCACCACCATTCAGGGCCACACAGGGAGGCACCCAAGTAGGTCAGGAGGCAGAGGGAGGAAAAGGTACAGGAAACAGAGGAGCTTTATTTCAGTTTCCACAGGAAGGAATGGGTGAGTCAGGGTAAGCAGGCTTGGCGTTAGCTAGTTACAAGAATTTCAAAGTGTTCTGGGAAACAAGGGATATCTCTGATCTTCGTGTGACTGGTGCAGGTGGCTTGAGAATTAAAGCAGGAGATCCAAGCAGAGGATGTGGCCGGAATATGGGCTTTGGATTGATTGATTGAGATAGGAAAGGTGTGTTTCCAGGTATTGTCTTTGCTCTTTAGGAACTTGTTCACTATGTTAGGGGCAGTATGGAACAAGATGTCAAACCATCCAAATACAAAAATTTTTACAAAGTCATGAGTGTTATACCTGCACAGGTTATCCCAAGCAGACAGCTGTCTGAGCTGGTAAGCATGCCTGAAATCTAGACCAAGTCTGCTTGCTAATCTGTGTGCCTATAGAACTGAACTCATTGACGGACCTAACTTCCGCTACTGTACTCCAAGATACCGTGTTGGCTAGCTAAATTTCACCATAACATTTCTCAGATTACTATTCAGTGTCATTTGTGATTATTTTATCCATCTCTATTTCCCTGACTGTACTCTTACTTCCAAGGATACCAGAATTTTGTCTGTTTTTGCAGTCTTCAAGAAGTCAGGGAATCAGATCTTTGCTCACTATTGTCTCCCTGAGTGAGACATATGTAGGTTCTGGGTGGGGGTGAATGAAAGAATAGGCTCAAAGGTATGCAGGTCTTTAGACACCAGACTTGTATGTTGCCTATACCCCTAAGCTTTTCTTTCTTTTGACACCAAAAATGTCAGGATGTCTCCAGGTGCCAGTGGCTCACGCCTGTGATCCTAAGTACTCAGAGGCTGAGATCTGAGGATTGAGGTTTGAAGTCAGCCTGGGCAGATAAATCTGAGCAACACCTCCAATTAACCAGCAACATGCCAGAAGTGGAGCTGAGGCTGGGTTGGTAGATCACCAGCCTTGAGCAAAAAAGCTAAGGGGCAGTGCCCAGGCCCTGAGTTTAGGCCTAGTATGACTGAGTGGTTGGGGTGAGTAGTATTTGTATTTTCTTCTCTGGCAAAGGTTGGGTTTGCCTCCATTCCAGGGAAAGGCTTTGGGGAGGGAAGTGATGATAGGGGAAAAACAAAGAAGAAGGTAACAATGCTGAATAGGAAATGTACTCATTACCTTACTCATGTAACTGTAACCCCTCTGTACATTATCTTTACAACAAAAAAATATACTAAAAAATAAAAGGAAAGACTTTTACTTTCAGTTTGAAGACTGTGAGCTCCACCCTAATGTCATTCCCTTGGTGTCCATGCCTTGGCTGTGACTAAAGTTGACAACTGAGTGCACAGACATGGGTCTATTCTTCTCAGTTGCAGCTGGAGCCACATGCCAACCTGTGTATCCACAGAGAAAGCACCAGAGGCTGCCAGATAGGGCCACGGGGAAATTTTAAATGAAAATGGGTGTTCCTGGTTCACTTGGGAAAAAGAAAAACTGGAACTGGCTCTCAGAGAGAGACACTGGTAGTGCTGAGTATTCATATGTTTGCACACATGCCTTCCACAGGTAGAAGATGAGGAATATGGGACCCTTACAGCCATGTGCAGGTAGAAAAAGTATTTACACCAAACTGGGTCTCATTCTTCATAGTCTGGAGCAGTGCTTCTGAGACCTAACAGCATGTGTTCTTTTTTTTTTAATCTCTCCAGGTTTCCATTCTATTATGAACTAAAAATAGCATTTGTAGCCTGGCTGCTGTCTCCCTATACAAAAGGGTCCAGCCTCCTGTACAGGAAGTTTGTACATCCCACGCTGTCTTCAAAAGAAAAGGTAAGATATACTACTGTACTTCAGTAAGTGGTAAATAAGAAAAGCAGATAAAAGTGGTAAATAAAAAAGCAGGTTATATATTACAGGAGATCCCTGCTTGGTTCCTAATTCCCTACAGCTATGCTTCCACTGCTTGGACAACTATAAGAGTCTCAGCCCTAGGTTACAAGATTAGGGCTTGTGGGATGAGTTTTTATATTAGATCCTGAGTAGTCCTTTGGGACTGCCTAAGTCTCTGCTACCAACCATCCCTATATTTTGGGTTCTTTTCTGTATATCTGTCCAATCCATGCTGATGGAGCTTTTTTTTTTAAAGAATGGTATTTTATGGATATAGGTACTAGTATGCTTTTTTATGTGTGTGTGTGTATGTGCCAGTACTCAGGCTTGAACTTAGGGCCTGGGCACTGTCCCTTAGCTTGTTTTGCTCAAGTCTGGTACTCTACCACTTGAGCCAGAGATCCACTTCCTTAAGCTTTTTTTAAACTGTTAAAAAAAATTTTTTAATTTTTAAAATTTTGTTGGTCGTGGGGCCTGATCTCTGGGCCTGGGCACTGTCAATCAGCCCTTCAGCTCAAGGCTAGCACTCTACCACTTGAGCCACAGTGCCACTTCCTACTTTTTCTGCTTATGTGGTGCTGAGGAATCGAACCCAGGGCCTCATGCATGCAAGGGAACTACTCTACCACTGAGCCATCTTCTCGGACCCTTCTTTAAGCTTAAAAAATATTTTCATTATCATAATTATATATTTGGAAACATGATAATTCAATACATTTCTATAATTTATAATGATCAAATCAAGATACCTAACACATCTATCTCCTTACATGTGTGCACACACATACACACACATATATTTTTTGATCAGTTGTTGTATTTTCAGAACTGGGAATTGAACTCAGGGCTTTGCACTTGTTAGGCAAGCATTCTACCACTCAATCCACATCCACAGTCCTTTTTTTAGTTTATGTTTTTCAGATAGAGGTTCTTAATAATTTTGCCTAGGACAGCTTTGGACTACCGTCCTCCAACCTCTGACTCTTGAGTAGGTGGGATTACAGGCATGTGTTATCATACCTGGAATTTTTTTTAGTTTTTTATTAACATAATAATTGTGAATACTTATAAAATCTACAGTGTAATAATTCAGTACATATGTAGAATTATACTAATTAAGTCAGAATAATTAATATTTCCATCTCCTTATTATTACTTTGTGTTTGGGGCCTTCAAATTCCTTTCTTCTATTCATAAAATATGTACACTATTGTGGCCTGTAGTTACTCTTATATGCTTTAGAAATACAGAAATATTACTTCTATCTGACTGCATTTGGGCACCAACTATTGAGTTCTGTCCCTCCCTCAATCCCTTCTCAGATTCTAATCTATGGTTAGATTGGCATTTTTAGCATGCACTGTCCCTCAGCTCTTCAGCTCAAGGCTAGCACTCTACCACTTGAACCACAGCACCACTTCCAGCTGTTTTCTTTTTGCTTATGTGGTGCTGAGGAATCAAACCCAGGGCCTCAGGCATGCAAGGCAAACACTCTACTACTGAGCCACCTTCCCAGCCAATAGGATACCAATCTTTTTATGGCATGTAACATTCCATTGAGTGTACAGTTTATTTACTCATCTATTGATGGGCAATTGAAGTTGATTCAATATTTTAGCTTTTATGGATAATACAACAATAAAGTACAAAAATAAAATGCTTATCTCAGTACATGTAGGAAAAAGCATTTGATAAATTTCAACATTCCTTCATGATAAAAACTTTCAACATATTAGACATAGAAAAAAACATACTCAGTGGGGAAAAACTGAAAGCTTTTCTTCTACCATCTGGAATAAGTCAAAGATGTCTTATTCACTCACCATTCTTATTAGCTCATTCATCACTCTTACTCAACTTAGTACTGGAAGTCATGGCCAGAGCAGTTAGGCAAGATAAATAAGTGAGGCATATGAATTACATGAAAGGAAATCAAATTACCTGTTAAGATTCTACATAGAGAAAAAATTGGACTTCACTATTCATCTATAAGCACTGATCAATGTAGTGAAGTGACAGGACACAAATCAACATGTAAAATCAATAGCATTCTTTTTTGAGAGGGTGGAATGATGTTGGAGATCAAGTCCCAGGATCTCATATAAGTACTTAGGCAAGTACTCTACCACCGAGCTATGACCCCTGTCTTAGTAGCTGAGTAGATAGATAATCATGAACGTCTTCTCCTTTTTAAAGTGTATTTTTGTACATATCTAAAAGCAGTGATGAAATTTTATAAAATATATTGTTATTATTGGTTGTAAGGCATTACAATAAATTAAAAGAAAGACAATTTCACTCATAATTTAACTCTCCAGGGCTGGGAAGGTGGCTCAGTGGTAGAGTGCTTGCCTTGCATGCCTGAGGCCCTGGGTTCGATTCCTCAGCACCACATAAGCAAAAAGAAAAAAGTAGGAAGTGGCACTGTGACTCAAGTGGTAAAGTGCTAGCCTTGAGCTGAAGAGCTGAGGGACAGCACCCAGGCCCAGAGTTCAGGCCCCATGACCGGACCCAAAAAAAAACAATAATTTAACTCTCCAAATTAAACTTCCTCTTATCGTGCATAGCCTCTGTTCTTTTTGCAGATAACTGTGTGCATAGACTGTATACATAGACAGTGTACAATTTTACTCAGACTTAAAAATAGTTTTAAAACTTAACATATGCCAGACATGGTGATACCTGTGTAGGCTGAGCTATCTGTGAAGCTGTGGTAGGCTTGAGGCATTAGTTGAAAGCCAGTCTAGGAAACATAGTGAGACTCCATCTCAAAAACAAATAAACAACAACAACAAAAAAAAAACACCCTAACAATTCTAGGCACTAATGTCTCCTGCCTACAATCCTAGCTATTCAGGAGTTTGAGATCTGAAGATTGAGGCATGAAATCAGCTCCAGCAGACATATCTGAGAAACTCTTACCTCCAATTAAATAGCAAAACGCTAGGGGTGGAGCTATGTTCAAATGGTAGAGTGCCAGCTTCAGTGAAAAAGCTAAACAAGAGCATGTGGCCCTGAGTCCAAGCCCCAGTACCAGCAACCCCCCCCTCCACACACACAACAAAGATAATTTGCATTCTGAGATCTTAAGCATGTTTGCACATAATCCATATCTTGGTACTCTTCATAATAACTCATGGTGATAGAGCTCTTTCCTTCCTGCTAGATACTTAGATTGTTTTCTTCCTGTAGAAAATTCTGCAGTAAACACCACCTCATATAGAGTTTAATTTCTTCCTTTATCTAAGAATAAATAAGAGTGGGATTAATGGATTAAAAGAGTCCAACATCATATAAATCATTAGTTATATTGCTTTCTAAATCTGATTGTGTAGTAAAATTTTTTTCAAATGAAATAGGATGCTTTATAGGTGGCTCCTGTTGATATTTATTTCTGTAGTTCTGCAAGATAAATTCTCTGGATTTCTCCTAGGGGAAGAATTTGGGGAACACAGCAGTTGGATAAGCAGGCTGTTGTAGACATTTCTGAAAATCCTTTTAGGAATCAGGACCATAGCTCTTCCTTTGTCTCTGAAGGATTTTTGATCTGGCCACCATCTTACTCTCCCATAATTTCCCCAAATACTGCCCCCCCTCAATCTGTCAATGTCATTTCCATTGAAGGGGAGGTAACTGCCTCTTAAGAGCTGCCAAGAAACACTGGCCTAGTTGGTCATATCACAGTTAGAAGGCTTGCTGCTGCGACCTCCTGGGAAGGCTGTGCACAGGGAATCCAGGAGGGCTGCTAAGCCCTCCTACACTCCTCAAAGCAAAGAAAACACTGATGTGCTGAACTTCAAATGAGCCTGAGGTCTCAGGTCATTGTCTTACTGAAGTGTTGGAGCTATAAAATGGCCTTTCTTAAAACAATGATACTCACAAAACAACTCAAAACAAATAGATGCTGGAGCTATAAAATAGCCTTTCTTAAAACAATAATACTGACAAAACAACTCAAAACAAATAGATGAACAGCATAAACCAGAGTTGATCCGAATTTGAATCAAACTGATATTATACTTGGCTTTGGTCCAAGAAAGAGACCTCAATTCTGTTTTCCACTTCACTTATATATGCTTTATGAGCCCAGATGACTTTAATTTCTCTTTGCATCCCAACATCTATATCTATCAACAAAATAACAACCATTTATTTCTATATCTGGTTCTTCCCATTGATAGATACATGGGACAGTATTTTTGTTTTTGATTTTTGGAGCTTGAACCCAGGCCTAGTCACTGTCTTTAAGCTATTTTGCTTAAGACTATCATTTGAGCCGCAGCTTCACTTCTGGCTTATTGGTCATTAATTGGTGATAAGGGTCTCACAGATCTTCCTCCCCAGGCTGGCTTTGAACTGTGAATCCTCAGCTATTAGCCTCCTGAATAGCTAGGATTACAGAAATGAGCCACTAGCACCTGGCCAATATTTGGTTTTAGACTTTCATGACTATAGAATAACAAAATTTTAGAACTGCAAGGGTCCCCACTCCTTGAAGGCAAGGAAGGTAACTCTGGCTGTCCCTGACAGAAAACAGCTGTTAGGCTTAGGTTTCATTGTTCTTCTCTTCTGTTCTCTTCTCTTCTGTTCTCTTCTTTTCTGGTCTCTTCTCTTCTGTTCTCCTCTCTTCTGTTTTGTTCTCTTCTCGTGTGTGTGTATGTGTGTGTGTGTGTGTGTGTGTGTGTGTGTGTGTCTATACTGGAGGCCAGTATAGAAAATCATTGATCAGGCAAGCTGGCAGGTCCAGCACTCAGGAGAAAGCAAAGAGAACAGAGACTTATTTGACCATGCCAACTCAAGGCCTTGTGCTCTCATTTGGCTTTTTTTTTCCATTCAAGATTAGTATTCTTCCACTTAAGCCACTCCTTCACTTCTGGATTTTTGCTGGTTAATTAAAGCCACTCGTGTCTGGCTCATTCTCCTTACTTTTCAGAAGACAAAATTGTGTAGAGACTACAACAGAAACAAATATTAGGAGCCAGTGACTCATGCCTTTAATTCTACGTACTCAGGAGGCTGAGATCTGAGGATTGTGGTTAGAAACCAGCTTAGGAAAGAAAACCTGTGAGATTCTTATCTCCAATAAACTATCAAAAATCTGGAAATAGAGCTGCAGCTCAAGTGATAGAATGCTAGCCTTGAGCAAACTAATCTCAGGGACAGTGCCCAGGCCCTGAGTTCAAGGTATAGGACTGGTGCATGCACATGTGCACACGCACAAACACACACACACACACACACACACACACACAGAATATTAGGGAGGTGAAACATGTATTATCTTGGATGTGGATACCAACAGGACAAGGGAAGGCAAATGGAGAAGGTGGATGAGGATGAATATAGTCAAAATACTTTGTATATGTGTGAAAATCAGATAGTGAAGCTTGCTTAGATAGGTTTGGGAAGGGGAGAGGAGAGGAGGAAGAATAATAGAGGAGGTGAGTGTGATCAAAGTACTTTGTATCCATATATAAACATGTCTAAACAAAACTCCCATACAGCTAATTGATGCTAATAAATTTTAAAAAATTAAAACACAACAACAATAAAAACATGTTCAGAGGCTAGGTATGGAGCTAGTACCTAAGGATGAAACCACCTTGGGGAATCAGAGGCAGAAGGATCTGAATTCAAGACAGACTGAACTATGTAGTAAGACATTGTCTCAAACAAAAGAATAAAAATATACACCAAATATAAAGTAAGCCAAGGCCTTATAGCCAGTAAGTGGCATGTCTGCAGTTAGGAGCTGGATTTTTGGCATTTTCTCATGCTAGGTTCTTTCAATGTTTATGTCCAGAGTCTGTGCCCACTGCCACTGGGCATAGAATGGCAGGATTGTCATATCCCTGGAAGTTAGAGAAACTTTATAAAGAATTCTAGGGCAAATGACAAAATAATGGCATTTGCAGGGAAATGGATGGAGCTAGAAGGAATCATGTTGAGTGAGGTAAGCCAAGAACGAAGAGACAAATGGTACATGGTCTCCCTGATAAGTGGATGCTAAATCTAAAAATGTTAGGTGATACAACAAAACTAACAGGACTTAAGAAACAAAGAACTCCCACTCATCTGGTTGAACCACTACTAAATATCCCCACGCTGCTGATCACATGTATGGTGTATAACATGTGAACACTGTTATATATTACAGACTGTGATAGACAATTTGCTCCAGGAAAGTTAGAATGAACTTGTGACTTTAAATGAGCATCATTATTCCACAATACTGTGAAATTCCGGAAATTATGTAATCACTTAATCACAATAAAAAAAAAAAGAACCTCGGGGAAGGGAGGGGGGAGGGGATGGTAGGGGGAAAACAATGGAGGGGGTAACAATGTTCAAGAGGAAGTGTACTCATTACGTCACTCATGTAACTGTAACCCTCTGTATAGTATCTTTACAATGAAAAAAAAGAAATGTACTCATTATCTTGCCCATGTAATTGTAACCCCTCTGTACAGTATTTTCACAATAAAAAAAGAAAAAAAATTCTAGGGCGTTGTTGGCGAGTAAGTTGTAATTTAAAAAAAAAAATTCTCTTTTGCACTTACCTGCATCTTGTCTGTCTGTCTCTACCCTCCTGTTTACATGCATGTATTCCGGTTGTCTATGTTTCAGGCCAGTGAGAATCAGTGATCAGGCAGGCTGGCAGGCCCAGCACTCAGTAGAAAGAAAAGAACACATTTGAACATGCCAACTCAGTGTGCCCTGTTTCCTTTGACAGGAAATTGATGATTGCCTGGTCCAAGCAAAAGATCGAAGTTATGATGCCCTTGTGCACTTCGGGAAGCGAGGCTTGAACGTGGCGGCCACAGCGGCTGTGATGGCTGCTTCCAAGGTATTGTGTCAGACTCTTGATCACCATGACTGGCAGGTATCTCAATCCTTCCAATCCTCCCTACCTGCCACACCTGCCACTCACACAGGACAAGCTGAGGGACCATTCAGTGTTCCTCTCTGTCTCTGTCTTTGTCTCTCTCTCTCTCTCTCTCTCTCTCTATCACACACACACACACACACACACACACACACACA